GGAGCTTTCTGGTTATTCCTGGTTGGGTGGTGAGTGGTGGTGTTTTGAGTAAGATAAACACTATGTAATATTCCTCTTGAATGGCAGATTGACTGGGGGTAAATTCCCTGCAATGGTTGATGAAAATTGTTCCAGAAAACAAGCAATTCTTGAGTCCATAATCTGATTCTTTGCTGGTTTTATATTCTGCGATTGCTGAGTTTCTTTTCATGTCATTGCAAATATGATATGATCATTGTTTCTTGGGACATGGGAGATTGGTAAAAATCCTAACATTGCCAAGTCCCCATGCATTTGGAGACTGCTTCACCGGTTTGCCTAAAATCGGATGCAGCAATAATGTCTGCTATAATACCTTAGATAATCCTGCAGTCAACACTTTTTATGATGGTGGGGAGATTTCTGAGAATGTTTTGTTAATCCAATCTACCACCAGATTGAACCCTGGCCAACTTGTTAATATTCCAGGATTCATTTTCTTATCTCCCCTCGTTTCTGACGGTGGTCTTGCCAACAGAAATTACAGGAACAGCCAGGCTTGGGGTAGGTCTTGTGGCATTTTGAAAAGGGGCCAAATCCACACGATTAATAACAAGATACAATCGATCAACAATAAAGCAGAAAATAAACTTGCAGAAAAGTAAAATGAGCACAACAGAATTTTTCGGTCGAAGCCCTAGAGAACAATGTTCTTTCAAACACCTAATCCCCTGTTGAGCATCCAATCAAGAATGGATATTGCTCGGTTGTACTAAATGCCTCAAAAACTGGCAACGAAAGTTACAATGTTCAGCCAATACAAAATACACAAGGAAAGAGACTTATCTCTTCAAGAAATCAATAGATCTGCCTCAAATCACTCAATAATCGATAGACCATTTTCTCATATCTCGACACATGACAACTCCCTCATTCTTTCAAGTTTTCACTTGAGAAAAATACAAGTATTATATGGCTAAAACATCAAAACCAGATCTTCGAATGAGACGTTCAACATAAAAATAGTGAAACCGAAAACCCTAGCCACACGAAGAGAAATGGAACTTTCACACGAAAGGACACAAGAAAAAAATTTGAGGCCAATGAACAGTCTCTTAAGTATATATATCACCAGATATCAAACCCTCCATTTAACGGTAGATGATAGGCCAAGTGTCACAATCCAGTGCATTGCCACTTATAAAAACGTATGTTGAAGACGCATTTTAACTTCTGAAAATTATGGGAGCACAAAACCGGGTTCGAGTCTCAACAAGTTTCCTTCTCAACTCATTCATTTTTTTCAGCTTTCAAAGAAAATTTGCTATTTAATTGAGCTCCTCCACTAGATCCAGTGGTGTCGTATCTTTGGGAAATGATCCATATGTTTTGCTTCCTGGTATTTATGTGTCCTAGCCTCTTATTTGCACTCCACTTATCGAGAATCCATTTGGAATAGGGGATTTGTTCAATTTCTGAAAGAACCCTCTTTAGAATACTTCATCTAATTAAAGTAGATCAGAATCAACGAAAAATCAGTTGCACTAAATAAAAATTTATTATCAACTGACAGGGAAGGTAATGGTGGAACTAAAATCAGCACCTTTAGACCTTACACAGTAATACAGACATGAATTTTAAATGCTTTGATTACTGCTTTCATCAAGGAGCTTGACAATGTCAATATAAATATAATGGCTCTTTTTTTTCCTGCTTTTCAAATCGTCTCAAAAGCAACGATGACATAACCAAATGTACAAAAACAGCTACATAAAATTAGAAAATTATGGGATATAAGTAACTAAATATATGTTCTTGATTTTGCTTAGAAATGATACTCACAACTGTACCCCCTCCAAACTCTATTCCACCCCAAAACAAAACCACTGTAAGTGTTATATAATTAAGAAACAGTTGAACAGTAAATGTCGAACTCTGTTTTCTTTACATGAACATTAAAGAAGCATGAGTAACTTTTCATCCCTTTGGAGCAAAACAGGGATTGTGTTTAAACGAACAGTCCCCAACTTCTTCAACGTTATAAACTCCTCAAAAGAAACGCTTATAGGTACATACAGATAGAAATGCAGTAGGGAGAATGGTTCAAGCTTAGACTACAACTCATTAGGCATGATATGAAAGCATCATAGGGAATGTTCATCATCTCCTGACATATCAGGCAGTACAGCCACAATTAGCCAGCCCAAAAATGATCTAGAAAATGGAGATTCGATGCTAAACAACACTTTTATCAACTGGCTTCAGAACATCGATAAAAGTCTTGTCCATAAGGTACTTGTGTACAAAACAAACTCCCATATTTGCTCGTAAACTCCCATCTTTTAAACGTCTAAATCTGCAGGTATTGGCAGATGTTGGGGACATTCATGCTAATGTTCTGCATTTGCGCTATCATAGCAATAGTGCAGTTAATAGTAGTGGAAGTAGGCCTAATGGAATATGCAGCCACAGCAACCTTGACAGTAACTGTCATAGTTTTCTCTATAGGAGCCATTTCTGGAGCCCATGTCAATCCTGCAGTCACAATTGCTTTTGCAACTGTTGGTCCATTTCCATGGTCCAAGATATTTATAATTACTTGCTAAATTTGAAGATACAGGTCAAGAAATCGAAATTCAAATTTATTTGAACTTTTTTCTTTTGAAGATTCCACTCCATATATTGGCACAAATTGTGGGATCTGCTATAGCAACATATATTGCAAGAGTAGTATATGGCATAAGATCAGAGATTGTGATGACAAAACCACTGCAAGGATGTACTGCGACTTTCTAGGTGGAGCTTATTGCAACTTTCATCATTCTTTTCCTCACTGCATCCTTGTCAAATGACCATCAATCAGTAAGATTCTGTCTCTTAAGTCATTTTGAGTTCGACTGTTTGTAGCCCACACTTATCTTGTGACCACGGATACATAGGATTTATAGAGGTACATCGGACATTCATACTTGTATCATGTTGCACATACTAGGATCTTAGATTTAGAGTCCATCGACTTATATTTTGACTATGTAGTACCCGTGAAGCACAGACTCCTCCTGGGCGGGGCACCCTTGTACAACGACACGTATTGGACATCGACACTCAAGATACATGTTAGACAGCTATGTGGAGTATCCTTTATTCATATACATTTTTAGATTTTCTCTATGTCTCTTCAACGTGTATCAGACTTGTCATCTCATCATATTCTACATTTAATGTAGTGCTAATACTCGAGTAGGCATATATCAACAACACGTCGACGACATAACTAATTGTAAATTTGAAACATAAAAAAATTAAGGGGCTGTCTGGTAGAAATTCTCTCAAAATTATTATCGAAAATCCTACCGTTGTAAAGGTCTGCTGCACAGACTTCAGTCGCAATAATTGACAACAAGTACTGGCAGCTATCATCTCATTATTTCAATTGCCAAAAATGCACTCATTTAATAATGTTTAATGCATTTATTGAGGGGCACTCTCGTCTTTTCGCCAAATAATTTAATTGAATGGTACGAAGGCAGTCAAAAAATGCTGC